TCACAACTGTTAGGCTGCATGATGAGAATAAAGCCTGACAGTATTGAGGGGCTGTTAAAAGTTTGTGCGTGGTTTTTTGGTTGACACTCCTATTACAACACACTAGAGGTGACAGATGATGACATTTGGCTTCCTACTGTGAGTGGACTCAATACATGAAGGCCCTGGCCAATTAAAAATAGGCTACAAAATGAAACGAAATAGTGGAAGATGAAACGGAGGGAAGCTGTAATTTCAACCTTACTATATAGCCAGTTGTCATTCGCAGCGGATGCGGGCTATTGCAACTGTTGCTCAGTCCGGATTCAAGGCAGCATTGGGTCGGACCGCTGTGGTGCTGCTGGATCGGTGGCCGGTTCAAGCTTGGAGGAGAGTCGCACCCCATCTGTACCAACCGTCACGACGAACTACGACGAGGGAGCTCCTCCTCCGCCTGGGCCCCCTCCACCCTCTCTCTGTCTCTCTCTCTCCCCCTATGATCTGTGTCCCCACACGCTCGTCTTGTCCAGATTTCAGCGGCTGATGAGCGCACTGCCGTTGACAAGCTGTAAAAACTCCCTTGCCTCTTCTCTGCCTCCTCGACCTCTTATAAGTTCCTCTTCTACCTCTCTCTCAACTCTCGCTCTCTCTCTTCTCTCTCTCTCTCTGGCGTCGGCAGTTCCTGATGTTTGTCGCACGTCAGCGCTTATGGCAACGGCTCCGTGTCTCTGGGCACACCAGTGTGTGATCGATTCCCTGTACACACACACACCGGCTTCCAAGCTCTCCGGGGAAATGTCACTTCAGGGACCGGAGAGACGTTCCCGCGCACGAACGCATTTGTCCGCACAAGCCGGCTCGCGCGCACGCACGCACCCCTGCAGGGCGATGCATACCACCGTTGCCGCGATGACAGTGCACTAACCTCTTCACCCCAAATTCACTACCTTTACATGCAGAAATATTATTAACTTACTCCTCTAATGTATTCTACCCCCCCCAAAAAAAAAAAAAAAAAAGGGGCCGTACCAGGTAATTCGCTTACGTCACTTTGCAGAAAAGCATCTTATGCACAAAAAACTTAATAATCATTAAATATGATGCATTGTTATAGATTAGATTAACCAATAAAAGTATATAAATTAAAATTAGCTCCACCTTAACCAATTACACTAAAATGCTGCATAAATGCTTACTAAGGTACATTTTCCTTACACTGTGGTATTGGTGTCTTTACTACCATGCCAAACTAACATTAGACATGTTGCTGTTGTTTCCCTCTTCAGCTGCTGCAAGGATGAACACATGGAAAATGACCATAAACAATGCAAAGACACAATGCATGATTACATATACCTGATATAATGGACATAAATCTCATCACACAATTTTAATGTTGATACTGTACTGTATCTTACTGGTTTCCAGTCTGTTCTGCCTGGGACACTTTAATGCCTGTTGTACTTCTGACCTTTCATTATATTTGCATGAGCTGTGAAAGTTTAACCAAAGAGGGAATTTCTGTTTCATATCAGACTCCAGAGGAGACACAACTGTCCAGGATTTTAAAGAGAGAAAAAAGCAACGTTTTGAGAAGTTTTTAGAGATGTATCTCGCAAAATCACATCATCACCTGTATCAGAATCAAAAGAATGGCCTTCACTTCAGACTGAACTTAATGACCCTGAACAGACTGGCTGACTGATTGCAGCAGTTGTAGTCCTTGTGTTTGCTCGCCACCTAGCGGAAACAGTTGGGAATTGGCACTTTAACACTTTTTAATCTGCCAGGGGCCATTTTGATCCGCACGGCGGTGTTACCACACGGCTGACTGGTGTGAGTAATGTGTAAGACATAAATAAACAAGAAAAGACACAAACATGAGACAATAAACAAACAGCACCTTGAATTGGGCACAGGTGGTTGCAGCCAGAACCCCCCCAAAGCAACTTAACTGTGAGTGATCTATGTTTAATTAAGCATTGCTATAATTTAATAACGTGTCTGAGACTCCCTTAAAACAAATCTGGCTTCATGTGTGTCTTTGTTTAAGAGAAGCAAACATGTTTTCTGTAATTGGATCCATATTCAAATGTGCATTTTTTGGTTTGTTTCGGGGTCTTACTGAGAAAAACAGTCTGCATTGTTTGTTTTCTTAGACTTGTGACTGTAATCAGACCCATGCTTCTTTGCGTGAACAATAGTTTCCATCACACATTAAATTACATCCCGGATGTAAGAGGAGATGGCCCTCTGGATGTCACATCTGTCCTGCAGATGTGCCAGGCTATTTGTCCACTTTGGAGTTGGCTTCCAATATTTTCAGCAAAGAGTATTGGAGAGGTTATTTCCCAAATGTGTAATTTGTTGCAAGAAAAATGTATGGATTTGTTTAGGAGGGCGAAATATTTATAGCATATGCAGTGATATGTTATTCTAAAGAGGATTTATTTTTCAAAAGAGATGGTGTGATGTCCAACAACACACCCCCTCAGCAAACAAAATACTGTTAAGTTTGGCAAGGCTAATAATCAGTAAAGACAAGTTTAAGTGTTCGGCGCTGCTTTCTCGGGTTTGAAAAGTTTCCTCCACGGGTTTTCCTAGACTCGGCTGGTCCCTCTTGTTTGAGACCAATTAATGAGGCGGCTAAACTCATTAATTGGCCACTTAATTGGCCCCTGTAGCTGAGCGCGCTGCTTTCGCTGTCTTTTAGCGCACCGCCACCCCTCCCTCCCCACTGCCGCCAGACATCACAATCCCACCTTGTCACAGCGGTTTAGGGTCAGTCCCTCAGTCGGGAAGGTGCTCTCGCCGTGGACCCCCCCCGCCACCTCTGGATCCCCCTCTATCAGTATCTCCCTCCCACTCTATCTCGGTGTTTTATGTCTGCGTCACAACAAGTCGGTCGAGAGCGAGAGGCAGGGATGATGGCGTCTCTGGCGGCTTGATTTTCCGTGGCTGCCTCTGATCAAAACCGCCTTAATGGCAGCAATAGCGTGTGGCGGGGAGTGGAGGAGGGGGGGCGGGGTTTAGGGTGAGCAAAGCGACGGGGATGACGAACGCTCATAAACGGAGGACGGACAAACTAAGCAGAGAGACGGGAAGGAAGCCAGTCGGCCCTCCCCCGCCACCACCACCACCACCTCTTCCCGCCCTCCTCTCCTCCTCCTCCTCGCTGACGGCTTGACTGACACACACAGGCTCTTGGCACAGACAGGGACATACATGCACATCATCCACTTTTTGCAAACACGCAGGCTGCGCATCGGAGCGGGCAGTAATTGGGCAGCGGAGATCCACAGCAGATGAGAGCATTTCATGTGCAGCCTGCCCAGGAATCACTGTGACCCCGACGGAAAGGAGTTCGACTTGACAGGTACCCTTCACCGGCCAGCTTTACTGTACAATTTGCCTTTTTGATTCACAAAAGGCTACGTACACTGTTATGTCTCCTGCGTCTGTCTTGACTTGAGTGCATGCACTGGAACAAATGCTCAACGTGCAGAGATAATGCCTGCACAGTCATTTCATGCATCTATTCAAGTTTTTCAAGATGTTGGGAGAAGAAGAAGAAAACAGCAAAGTGCCAGGCAGATGCTTCAAGAAGCTGCACAGTGATCTTTGCTCATTCAATCAAACTGTATTGCAGCAGTCATCATGCAGTGTTTGTGTGTGTGTGTGTGTGTTTCATGTGTGCAGTAATCATTTGTCTTGCTCTCTGGTTGTGTACTCACTCTCATCTTTCACTGTGGTGGATACAGGCTGTCGTTATGCTCTGGTCTAAAAGGAAGAGGAGGGTGGGTGGCGGGGGGAGTAGGGGGGATTTTAACCCCTTTGCACCGAAGCCCGCCTGTCTGAGAGCCAGCCGAAACGCCGTGGCCATAAACCCCTCTGTCAGCAATGGCAGCAAAGTATTCAGCGAATAAATCGGATTTCCATTTCACATGAGCCCTGCTCTCTCTTCTCTCTCCCCTCTCTGTCTCTCTCCTCAGGATGGGGGGAGTAAGTGAAGGAGATGATGTGTTGGCTCGATGGAGTGATGGACTACTGTACCTCGGCAATGTGAAAAGAGTAAGTGTGTGTGTGTATGTGTGTATGTGTGTGTTCACTTGGATTTGAAAAGACTTCCATTTAGTTTTGTCAATCATTCTGCTCACCTGCTATCTCCCTCTCAGGTAGACGGAGTCAAGCAATGTTGTCTGGTGAGATTTGAGGACAACTCGGAGTTCTGGGTACTGAGAAAGGACATCCACTCATGTAAGAAAAACTCTTTTTTTTTTTCTCTCTCTCTCTCTCTCTCTCTCCCCCCTCAGCTAGAAGAGTAAATAGCTTCCTGAGCACTTTGTATTTCTTGGGTTAAAAAAATGCTCATAGCTTGAGTTTTTGAATCCACAAATGCTTAGCTGAATTCAAACTAAAAGGTGTTTGTCTCCACTTTGAAACTTTGCTCGAGGAGCTGAAGGAAGACTTTTCTGATTCTTTTCCCTTGTGAGCTTAAAACTTTCAATTTTTTTGCACCTTTTTTCCTCAGGATCTCTGAATTGTCATCCAAGAATAAAGCAGAGACGAAATTATAGTCACGTTCAAGGTTATGATGCTGAGTGCTCAGAGTATTCTGATCGGGGCACGTTGAGATGTAATTGGTATATTAGAGTCTATTTATGAATTTATTAGACTAATGACTCCAGGGAAATGGCGCCCCCACTCCACCTTACATCAAGGGAAGGGGGAAGTTGGACGCTTGTTAGGACCAGGCTGAATATCCGCCCGTCAAATGAAGTGAAATCTAAAAGGGTGCAGGAGACACTGAAATCAATGAGGTGGCAAGGATGTGAATCAATATACATAAATTAATGCTGTTGACTGCTCTCTCTCTCTCTGTCTTCCTCTTTCACATTTACTTCCTCCCCTCCCCTGCCTCTCTCTGTCTTTCTGTGTTTGCCTCAGTCGCTGCTGGAGTGGAAGAAGTTTGCTGTATTTGTGACGCTCCGCCTCTTAAAGAACCCCTCATAAATTGTCTTAAATGTCGCCACGGTAAGGAAGCACGCCTGATCATACGCTGTCAAGCGGTGGCTCACCACCACTTCTTGCACTGACCTTGAAGATTTGACACAGTATGGTAAATAACAGTGTTGCTCTTAAAATAACAACGGCACAGAAAACCCTATCATAAATGATAGATATGAGTTGTTGCACCTGCATCCTGAATAGAATGAAAATGAGATAACCTTAGACATGGAACTTTCTTCATAGACTTAAATGCCATGAGAGGTTTGCTTGGGCTAATTTAAAGATCACCTCCAGAGATATATTAAGAGATAGAAATACTCTGCAATGCATTATCATTTATGTTTGATTTGTTTTTTCTACCAGAAGAAAAAGTTGAATTACGTAATTCAAAATCACACCTACTCTCTATCCCTCATTAAAAATACCCAACCTCTATGAATATGCAACTATTATCGATTTGAAAAGTTTAACTTCTGAACGCAATATGTCTCCTACTTAACTGTAAAGTCCACTTTCAGTGTTTGTGCACTGGCTTCCAAACATGTTAATCATGCTCTAATGTGCACATCTTCAAAATCTCATTTAAAGTGAGCACAAAGAAACTTTTCTCCGCCAGCAGATGGATGTGCAAACATCCTTCTGGCGTCAAACTCCTCACATACAACATTAAACGAAAGTGCAAGTGCGAAGAAGTTTCACAAACACTCAGCACCAGGATGCACAAGCAGGAAAGAGCAACAGATTTTACAGTCATGTCTTCACGGCTCAAACCGGATGCTGACAGTTTGTTTTGAGGGAAAAAGCAGAAAAAAAATACTAGATGCAAATAGTATAGTAAAATGTTTTGCATGCTGCTGAAACAAACCAGCAGAGCACTAAACATGGAGCTGCTCTGCCATTATTGTCACTCCGGCTGTCTGTCTTGTAAACACGAATTAAACGCTCTGCCTCCTCCTCCCATTACAGGTTATCATCCAGAGTGCCACACGCCAACCATCGAACCGGAAGCTGACAGCGATTCGTGGATATGTCGGCAATGTGTCTTTGCAGTCTCAACCAAGGTCAGGCTGCTAATCTCTCCGTCTCACACTCTGGGGAAAAAACATTCAGTGTGTAATATGGAAGAACTCCAGTCGAATATATCAGGCTTTGCTGCCACTATACTGTTGTGTACAGCAGAAAATGGGTTTACTCGAGGCAAAAGCGCGCTAATTCCTTCAGTATTGAGTTCAATATTAGATGTTCTACATTGTGTCCGAGAAATCATGAAGAATCAATAGTTATGAAGCTGAAAAATTACGCTGAAGTTGAGAGAAGTCCATTTAAAGTCAATCAATCACATGTGCTCCAGTTCTGTAGATATGAGATGAGAAAGGACCCAGTTAATTGTCAATCGGTCAATGTCCATATCTCATTGTCCAGACTTCCATCGCTTCGGACAATATCTCTCACAGCTGACCTACAATAAAATGAGACGAATTGCTTTCTCCCCACCAAATGTGATCCGTCTCCCTCGCTGTTCTGACATGACAGTGATTTGAGGGGTCACCGACCAATCAGTTCTGTCCTAAAATTGTGTTTTCAGAGAGGCGGGGCCCTCAAACGGGGACGCTTCGCCCGGCTCATGCAATTTATGAAACTCCGGCTTCCCTACCAGCTGTCGTCTTTAGACTGGGACCCGCAGCATCTGACCAATCAGCAACAGTGTTACTGCTACTGTGCCGGACCTGGAGAGTGAGTGACACTGCAGAGGCCAGTTTAAGTTTGAATGTACTGTTCGTGTATGCTCTTTAATATTAGGCATTTTCTCTGAAAGTCAAAGTCATCTTGTGGATTGTCTGCAAATTGCATGCAGCAAATGAGACGTGTCAGACAGTATTAGCTGTTTGAGCTTGCTCTTCTTGGAATGATATATGAGTGATGTTTATTGCATCATTTAAGATACTGTCAGGTGAGTTGTCAATCAAAAAAAAGGTACATCAAACTATGTTTTAATCTTTTAATGCATTTGCTGTGTTTTCCATGCTTTGCTGCTTTACTTATGTTTCACTCCTGCTTAAAACAAACTGCCTATTGCCACAGCATCTTTAGTATGGAGTTTACACCTGAAGACACATTTCATCTCAGAAAATGTAAACTGGCACACAGCATTCAGTCCTCCCTCAATCATGCATAAATACAAGCTTGTCTGGTGACAAATATTAGACACATGTATTCATTCATGTATTTAAAGTCTCTTGATGTTTTCATGTCGGACTGCAGGTGGAACCTGAAGATGTTGCAGTGTGGAAGCTGTGGTCAGTGGTTCCACGAGGCCTGCACACAGTGTCTAACCAAACCATTACTGTATGGAGACAGGTGCGTTACTGAGCATCGTTGTAAAAAGCTCTGGAATCTTTATATTCACAATTATATTTTTGTCATTACAAATATAAAAGAAGTCTGATAGGATTTGGTATAGGTGACACACATTCTGACACCAAAACTCAGTGTATCTTAATATTTGGTAGAACTAGAGTGTGTCTGGATTTTGAAGCAGATATCAATATTTGAGAGTAAAAATAAATACATTCTGGTCCAAATAAATTGATATCAGCTTTTTTACAGCACCATTTAAGATTTTTGGCACTGATCTCTCACATTTGGTCATTTAAGATTTATGGGTAATGATACTTATACTTTTAATCTTTTAATCTTTTACCAAGACAATGTTAAAAGTAAAGTAAATAAGTAAATATAAGATATTAGTACATTTTGAACATTAAATCATGCTAAATAATCCCCTTAAGAATTTGATGAAAAACAATTCATTGTCTTTTTATACAGTATAATCATACAGTGCATATAAATCTCTACATGCATAGATGCATACACATACAAACAAAGGATAATAACAAAAACGCAGCAGCACAAAAGGAGGGTGTTGTTCATATTGTGTTTTCATGTGACACAAGCTTATCTGATTTTTATTGGTCTACCACTTTGTGCCTAACAAAACTTTGTCAGCTACAATATTCAGGTTAGATTGAGCAGAAACCTTCTGAATTACAGATACTCTGATTGCAAACTTACTAGGGCTGCTAATAACAAATAATTTTCATTTTCAAATAATCTGTTGACAATTTATTTGATTATGTGATTATTTTCCAGTTTTCAGATTGCTTTATTTGTCCAACCAACATTCAAAAGCTCAAAGATGTTCAATTTACAATCATATGAAACACAGAAAAACTGCTAATTTAAGAAGCTGGTACCAGTCAATGTCAATAAAAACAAACTATTAATCTATTATCAAAATTGGTGTTGATACATTTTCTGTCAATTGACTAAGAGATTAATCTACAAGTAGAAGATTCCAGTTTGATTAAGATAATCAAATGAAGACATCTACATGACAGCTTCACTTGTCAGAGAATTACCTTAATTAGCTTAACACTAAATCATTAGTGTGCATGTTAATGTACTCACTGACTTGTGTTACAAGGACAATCAGCATCTCACACACGCAGAGCGAAGGGACAGAGACAGACAACAGAGCAGACATATCACCTCTCTGCTAGGAGTTCAGATAGGATGTTGGGAGGATACGCAAGCTGATGATCACAGTGCAGTCTGATAGGCTGCTTCTCACGCGTGTAATAAAATGTATCCATCCATTAAGTTATTATTGTCATTAACCATCTGTGTTAGCCGACTGAGTTCTACTCCCACCCTGACACCGTGTTATTGCCGAACCTGTCTGAAAAAAAAGGAGGGATTAGATTTAGATTGACAGTCGGGGAGAGTGAGGCCGGATTGGTACAACATCTGCTGAGCAGGTGATGGAGGAAGAGTGAAGACTGACTTCACAGTTGGAATAGCAAGCATGTGCCGCCGTCATACTGTGTCTGCTCTTCATCTTTTCCAATGACCTTCAGCGAACACAAGCATATAGAAGGACAGATGCACATAATGTTGTTGTGGTGTGAGTTTCAGGGTCACCCAGAACAGAATGTTACAAGGAAACAGATACACCTGTCGGTTTATTTCCAATTCACGTTGATTTGTATGATGAAATGTCTAGAAGAGAGAAGAGAGATTGCAAGGAAAGTAAAGGGGGGAAAAAATCACAGTGTATATGATACAATTGGACTAAATGATAAGAAGTCTGCAAGGTGTAAAATAAACTTGGACAAAAAGCTAATATGCTTTAAAAGAAGAGATTGTGCAAGTGAGGATAAAAATGAAGGACATTTTAGATGTTTTTGAAACTAAATTACAAATGATAACTCATCAAGAAAGAGAAAAATACACTTTTATTCAGAGTAAATGAGTCACATGATGCCTGATTTCTTCTCCCATGTGTTTGTTTATAGGTTTTATCAGTTCCAGTGCTCAGTATGTACAAAGGGGCCAGAGACCATCCAAAGACTACCCATGACCTGGTGATGTTTACAGCAAAACCTTTATCGACATATTTGCAGTGAAATATCACTTAAAGTTTACACAGTGGTTATAGAAAAAACATCAGGCGTTAACGCTAATTTCTTGTTTTTCTTCTTCAATCAGATTTTAAGAAAAAAGTCATTTTTCAGTACATACAGTCCAGTTCTAGTAAGAGACACAACGAAGACTGATATTGCTAAATGTAATAAAAAAATGTGCTATATCAAACTAGACACACAAATGTTCTGAAATATGTAAAAGTTAATTTTTTTTATGTCTTCTTTACCTGTTTCTTATCATCTAATTTGTGCTATATTTTAATTTTAAATGCAGGGTGGATTTGGCTCATTTAGTGCTCTACCATCTCTCGCTGTGCTGCAAGAGGAAATACTTTGATTTTGACCATGAAATCCTGTCCTTCACCAATGAGAATTGGGAGTCGTTGCTCCTAGGCGTGGTATTGATATTTCCTCGTTTTAAGTACCATGATGAAATGATGTGAAATGCTGCCAGCCCTTTTGCATTTGAGACTTAAAGCCTATTAACCACCATTAAAGTAAAATTTAATGTTTAAAAAAAAGTATGACCTCTACGTAAGCTTAAAGGGGAACACCACTAAGTTAAAGAATTGCAGATGACATTGCGTGTTTTTATGATCTAGACAATGGTTCCCAACCTTTTTTGGCTGACGTACCCCCATAGGCCTACCTGATGAGACCAAGCACCCATCACCATCCGTCATGTTCCATCAAATGTGGTCATTTTAGTTTATTTTAAATTAGATGTGATTACTGTTACTGTTACTTAAAAATGGATACTGTTACAATATTGTTTCATATAATTGATTAGGTTGGTCTGGTCTGCATTCGTACTGCCACTACTCTACTATTTATCCATCTTTTAGCTATTTCTTTTAGTTAACAATTTCAACTGTTTATCAATTAGAGCTGGAATGCGCGATTTTTTCACACAAAAAGTTCACACAATACTGATTAAGCTTATCACTGCCAGGTAAATCGCTCTGAATTTCACACTATACAGGAGTTTTTAAATCTGGCATCTGTGGCGACATTCCCGCACTGGCGCACTCTTGCTAATGCGTTTTACACCAACCAGCAATGATTGGTTTGTAGTGACACAGTAGGGGTATGGCGGAGGTGTACGTCATAAGATACGCCAATAGTGTGAGTGTTATTACTGTCACTGCCAGAAGGGGGAGCCAAAAGTTCCTTACTTTAATGACTGTTTCAGCTATTTATGCAATATTTTTAGCTGAGCTATTTCACAATCCCTGGTGATTGAAGTACCACCTGTGGGACAAGCACACCTGGTTGGGAATCATGATCTAGGACACTCTCAGCAGCATTTATAAACATGAATGAGTTTTGACAAATCCTCAAACTAGAGTGCTATGGCTCAGAGTTGTGATACCATCTGGTTTTAAGTCTAAAGTTGCTCCACAGAGAATAAACAGGAAGATAAAAGTGGAGGTGACTGAGAGAGTCACCAGGGGGATTGGTTTGAGCATTTCCTGTACATCTATCTGAGGTTTTGGGTTCTCCTTTAAGCTGCTTTTAAAAGACATTTTGAAATGTTTGTCCTGTCATAGCATGACAGCGGGGGGATTTTCAGCCATGTAGCTGCAACAAGTAGTTTTCTGTATTAACACTATTGCTGTCAGCGACTGTAAAAGAAAATTATTGTATGCATTAAAGGTTTTCTGTCTGATGGCCGTCCACTGTGTAAACACAGCTTTGATTTTTCATTCCTGTCTGTCCTCTAGCTCTCTGACACGCCAAGGCAAGACCGCTGTCACAATCTCCTCAACGCTCTGAACTCCCACAAGGACAGGTAAGTCATCGCATATGATGAGAAGAATAAACACCGACCACACATGACTGGATTGATGAGTAGCGCTCCATGAATAGATTGGTCTTCTTAGTGCTCTCTAGTTCTGTGACTATTTTTTTTTTTTCACAGAACTCAGAATTTCTCTAGGCCAGGTCTGCTCTAATTATATATACTTAATTACACAGTCACTACCTTTGAAATGTTCCTGAGTGTACTTTTCCGTCAGGAGAAAGTGTACATTTTGTTGCACAACGTTGAATTCATTATTAGCATCAAAGAGGAGTAATAAAAAAATACACACAGAAGGGGATGATACATTTTAAGAACCAACACCAGGCTGTACAAGCTGTTTCTTTGATGTCCCCCCAGGTTTGTCTCTGGCAAGGAGATCAAGAAGAAGAAGTGTCTTTTTGGACTTCAGGTCCGGGCCCCACCTCCGCTGACGTCCGATTCGTCGCCCCTCATCACCGACCCACCTATAAACATCACGCACCGGAGAAGGTCAGAGTAAGGACAACGTCTCTCTTCTCAGCCCTTATCTCAATAAGAGCTCTGGGACTCCCACAGGGCATATAGTCATTATGCATGAACAATTAACTTTAGGAATCAAAGGACTGCAATTTTCATATGCCAGCAAAAGTATCAGTGTCTTAATAATCTCCTAAAAGAGTATAAAACCCCCCTGTGTGCTTACGTTTGTACATCTGTAAGTGTGTGTGTGTGCACGTGTCCTGTAGTCTGCAGATTTCATAGACACGCTTTTCATTTTAAAGCATTTGTAGCATTTAGCTGGTGCTTATTCAAACTAAATTACAATGAAATAATTTGCAGAGTAGTCGTCTTAGGGAAGTGAAGTGATTGGGGGTGGTGGGTTTTACAAAGAAATCAGATTATTTGAGTCACTGAAACACAAGTATATGTATATATATATATACACACACATATATATGATGTATATATATGTATATGACAAGTCGTTCATATCTACAAGCTGCAAAGAGACACTGATCTTATTGGCTGGAATCACTTCACTGCTCTTTCTGAGCTGTTCGATGAATAGAGTGAAGTCAGCTTCCTACCAAATGGACAGTGTTCAGAAGTAAGTATACGTTTATTATATTAAATAAAATACATGTGGTATGGATATTCACAATCCTCAGAAGATTATTTCTAATGATTTAAAAGACCCCCTGACATAAGTCTAACAGCACCACCAGGACACTGTCTTCTATGACCCAGATTAAACCCAGAGTTCTAAAACTAATGGCAGGATTATCTTTAAATTAGCTGTAGATATTCACAGTCCACAGAGGCTGAACACTCAGTGAGCTTTCCTCTAGCTTTCCTCAAATCGAATGATCATCTTTGAATGCAAAATACTACAAACGGGTCTTCAATGAATTCCCATTTGCACACAAGAAATGTCCAAGTCTACTGTAAATGGCAGATTGTAACAGAATGTAATGCTCTCCAGAAGGTAAACATTTTCCATCTCAGACACCAGCTTATCTTTTGCATCACCCTCAGGCCAAAATGTCAACTTTATACACAAGACGTCTCACACTCAAATGGCGAGATTGTCCTGCAATTTGCTGGACCCGTTCACTTATGAGGGAAAATCCTTTTGATCTTAATGACTCTTTTCTTCAGCATCGCCCCCAGGACAAAATATACATTTAAATTCCTACTACCTGTACGGCTCCAATTATAGCAGAATGAAGAGTATGTTGTTTTCCACTCAGCATTATCGAATTTTGTGTTGTGATGGACATTTCAGCCTCTAGGGGTCACTTTGTGGGTTTTAGACCTCCAGTCTTCTTTATACAAATAAGTCAGAAGACAAGCTGCAGAAGACACAGTCAGTTTCAAGCATAGCAGAGAAGATAGTGAATGAGGGAAATCTGGGGAGAACAAGGTATACAGTGTTTATGTTATTTTTTCATATTTTTCAACCTCCCTACTGATGATGTCTGGGCTCATATATATGTAAAATGTGTTACTAATATAATACATCTAAATCATTCAGTATAACATCTCACCGCTCTCATCTTCTTGTATTTTACACCTCTCAGTAGGCTTTTATGGAAGCAAACTAATAAACTCAGCATTGCACACTGGGACTGTATCCGTGTGTTTATGCTTGTATATTAATTTTTGTGTGTTTTTGTTCATTTCAGCCCGTTGTCACTACCCTGCCAGAGGAGAGTGGGGGGGACAGATTCGCGTAAATCAAAGCGTCGCATCATGGAGACACAGGTCAGTGCCTCTGTCTCCAACTCAGGGTGAGGAGGGAGGTCTGGGCCACAAAACCTCTCTGATTATTTTTTTCCTTTTTTTTTTTCTTATGCAGCCAGGTAAACAGCTCTCTGCGATCCAAATAACCTGTCAGTCAGACGCTGTGATGAAGGTTCATTTCGCAGTCTAGATCAGTCTGCGTGTCTTTTAATACCCAGTGCAGCTCAGTGCCTCAGTATTTTTCTTTCCCCTTTTTGCTGTATGTTTAATGCCTGCTGATGCTTTAGAGTCTATGGTTAGAGTAAAGGTAGCGTGTGAGAGATGAAGTGTCGCGTGTTTTGCTCAGTTAAAATGTATAATTCAAATGCAAACTTGGCTGCACAAAAAACCCGCTCATGTATTTCATCAGCATCTGCAGTTCAGCACCGCATTTATCATGATCATCAAACCCAATTCCCAGCGGATCGCGTTGAAACAGGCAACATCACATGTGGCAGTTACTATTTTTACACAGCATTCTTAACCGAGAATGCTCATTGTAGTGTGTCCTCCTACACAACACTCTGATCTGTGTATGTGCACATACAGTAATCCTGGAACAATACGCTCCACAGAGCACTCGTTTTCACTCTGGCACATCCAGGGCCCATTGTGCCCCTCTGATTGATGCTAATCTCCATCCGTCTTGGAGGAGCAGGTTTGTTGTAGTGGGGAAAGTGAGATGGGAAGGAATGCTGATATGCATAGCCTGGGATCACTTCCAAGTGCACTTTGCAGTCGATTACAGTTTGGCCAGGTGGCGCTGGCACCTTGACAGTGCAGCATTGACAGAGCACATCCATTTAAAGGCACAGACGTCGACTAAGGCCACTGAATAATAATCTCCCATCCTAATAGTAATGTTAGAGAAGGGAATGATAATGGCCCAAGCGTGGTGCCATATGTCACAGTCCAGTGATGAGAAATGCAAAAACCTTTATGTGGCAGCCCCCCAGATGACGTTTCCAGTGATTGATTGTTCTGATGATGCTCTGATGTTTTTACTTTTCATGGATTCTGAGTTGGAGAGCTGCCTCACTTAACCAGCCAGTTCCATGAGATGTGAGGTGATACATTTAAGCGGGACATCCTACGGCTGTGTCTGATGAGCCTTGATGATGTGACTCACATCCATTAATGCTAGTAGTGTGGATTTATAGACATATCTGCCCATATCTGCCCTCAGGCAAATGAGAAACATGGAATTCAAGCGCCTGTGTGTTTTATTAAAATGCAGAAATATACAAAATGTATATCAGCTCAGTTTAAAATGTTTTCGTACTCTGATTTTCATTATGAAAACCTTCTAGACTTATTTATTACGTGTGTAGAATTAACTTCATGCACGTCTGAGTACAGAGGTATCAGAGCTTGATTGACTCCTGTGATGATGTTGGCATCCAGACAAGCTGATCTGTGTGTGTCTCCTGTGCCCAGGCTTGTCCACCCCCAGTTGCTGCCAACCCCATTGAGCTACTGCCATGTTGCCATGGCTACATGGGAGGGGCCAGCCTTTACAACTCCAGGAAGTCAGAGGAGGAGCTTAGTTTGAGGTAAGGGGTGTAGTACCGTTGTGGTTTCTGAGGTATGAGAAGAGTGAAAGGGTCACCTGTAACGTATAGCTGTAGTGCGTTGAGTGGGGGGCGCTGCACTCTCAACCAAACTGCTGACGCTTTGTTCAAAACTGCCTTTGAATTTTAGTGTTTTGTTCAAGCAGGGGATGTCTAAGTTTTGTCCCTGACCTTGACTTTCCTGCACATCTTACAGTGCTTCTGATAATAGATTATAGTGTGATGCAACAAAAAAGCACCATCAGCACCCTGTCTTGCCTATGAAGTAATATGCTGCAGATATTGTAGGTTTTGAGATATCCACCTCAGAGACTTCTGCCGCCACCCCAGTAGAATGGCCATTTTTCAGTCGCATGATCAGTTATTGGGGTGATATCAGAGGTCTTATCAGAAGATATCTGGAAACTTAAGTAAATAAACTCAAAATCAAAACTCAAAATGGCTAGGTACCACAGGGGGAATATGTTTCTAGGGGGAACTTAACCTTTAAATGTTTTTTTATAGTGTTATGAAACAGAGCTGGATGGAAATATATTTAATTTTAGATAAAAGTTGTAAATCAACCAAGTGTGTCTCATCCACAGCTCTCCACCCAAGCGGATGTATGCCCTGTACCACACCTCGTACAATGGAAATACTGCACTCTCCAGGAGCCTCCATCACTACAACAGGTTTTACTCATCTATCATCCTCATTTCTAGTAACTCCTGCTGGACATTTATATAGTCACATGTGGAAGCTGCTCTGTTAAACCACAATATTTTACTGTCTGCAGCTGTGTGGCTCCATTGAGTTCTCCTGCTTTTTCATGATTGTTCCAGAAACAAGTTAAACAGACAGAATTATTTAACGTATCAGATGCTCTGCAGTTGCTTGTGGCGCCAACTGACCCTTCAGTTGCTGTCTTTGAGCCCTAGCTCTTGAACACATTTTTCACCAGGACATTTCGGCAGTTAAACAGCTCATTTTCTTCAGTTTTTATGTTTTCCTCCACATTACCTAAATGTCATCATTGGCTGAAAAAAAAATCTTTTTTGGAGTAGCATTAAACACTTTGAGTTGCAAGCAGATTTGTGAGTACTAAAAAACACTTATCACCATTACAGTCATTGCTACACATAAGTAATATATAATTTATATTCTGATTCTGATTTGGCAAAATTCTACAAACACTACACTGTGTGTCCCTGTTGGTGAGTTCCAACATTAGATCATTGTGTGCAATCAAAACAGAAGATGATTTTGGCCCGTTTGGACCTTCTTGAGTTGTCTTGTGATTGTGTTTTTCAGAAGTCATGTACTGAAATGTTGATTAACTGTCAAGCCCTACTAATTGTTATTCAGGAATATAACTCACCTTGGGAGTAGTTCTTACTATTGGGATTGATGACTTTGTGTTGAACCTGCATTAATTGACTTTTTTGGCCACTTGGGGGCAGCGTAAACACAATATTGATTTATTATCACCTTATAAAGGTGATATGGGGAACATGTTAGCAAAGATTTACCTATTTAGATATCCAGCAAACATGGATGCAAAATTAGCATTCATTTGGAGTCGTGTGTCTGGACAAACGCAAGTCCAATATTCACTCTCCATTTAGCTCTGTCTTAGTCCAGCTCTCGAGGGAAATATTCTGCCTCTTTAGCTACGTTCACCAGCAAGGATTAATTTTGTCCGTCTGCTGTTTGGTGCTGGGCAGGTAGTGGACCGCGGGTTTTTATCGCTTTGTGCTGATAACGGCAGGAAACGAGATTGATGATAGCAGTGCGAGTGAACCAAAACAGTTAAGTTGCAGCCGTAAAACAAAAACAATGTCCCAAAAGATGCAGAGTTAGATGATTTTATGTGGTTTCATCACTACGAGTGACTTCTTTCACCTTACACATAGTCATTTAATACATACAAATATTGATTAGAGCACCTTTAAAGGTCCAGTGTAAAACATTTTGCAGGCTCTTTTGGCAGAAATGGAATATAATATGTACAACTGTGTTTTAATTGTAGTGTATAATCACCTGAGTATAGAAATCGTTACGTTTTTAAGTATGCTATGTTACCTCAGAATGAATAGTTTCTCCTAGAAGTAGTAGTAGAAAATGTATGTTAATGTATGTTTATTCATAAATAAAACCTTTATATATACATTTACAAATAATACATTTGAATGAGATGGTTCCTGAATCCTGTGCTTGTTTCTATCTCTTTTCCTAGCGTGGAGGACACCTGCAGATTACCACCACCTTGCTTCCCATACCCCCTCAACTCCAATGGCAGCCATCACCACCAGCACCTCCACCAGCACCATCACAGCCACCAACACAACCACCAACACAACCACCAACACAACCACCAACACAACCACCAACATAACCACCAACACAACCACCAACACAACCACCAACACAACCACCAACACCAGCCAGGGCAAAAACAGCTGGAGCCCCTCATCCTGCGTGATCTGCCCCCTTACCAGGCCGGCACAGGCGGCGGAGGTGGCGCAGGTGGAGGAGGCGGAGGGGGAGGAGGTGGCGGCGGAGGTGGAGGTGTAGTAGTTGGAGGTGGGGATGGGACAGTGGCCAGGAGCTGGGGAGGAGGGGAGGCAGTGAGGATCTTGGCGAGACGCGTCACGCCAGACGGAAAGGTGCAGTACCTTGTGGAGTGGGAAAATGTGAGTTTATACTGACACAAAGAGAGTAAACACGAGACGCAATGACTGTTTTGCAGTTGCCACAAGAATACTGTGTATGTAATATGTGGCAGTGTTTAAAGTACAAACAAAACAGAAAGAAAAAAAATTCCTACACGTTGCAAATCCAGGTTGCTCTCATAGTATCACCTCTATTCTACATCATTATAGCTCACTACTCGTTACTAAATGTCCCTCTTTGCTAGTGTTTCTCTGATATTTGTACTGTTAACTTTGGAATATGCCTTTGCATTTATCATGTTTTACAGTGATGAGGAAAGATATTTAAACCTCCTTATTACTTGTAAATCTTTGGGCCATATCAAGAAGAACATGTCTTTAATTGTACTCATATCTGGAACAGTGTAGTACTAAAAAAAATACAGATTACTGCTTTTTCATTGCAAAAGTAATAGAAAAAAATATTGAGCAGGTTTAAAGTATTATTTAATCTGTTACTTTGATTTGTTATGTTAGTCTACATGAATACATTTTTTTAGTTTGTCATTCAGACAACATGCGGCTAATTTAAAGTAATAGGTTGACATTTTAGGAAACACTTGTTTGTTTTCTTTCCGAGAGTAAGATTAGTAGACTGATACCTCTCTCATGTCTGTATGGTAAATATGAAGAGTCAGCTTAGCATAAAGACTGCAGGGGGAAACAGCTACCCTTGCTCTGTACAGAGGCCTTTCGGTAGTTCTAAAGCTCACAAATAAACAGTGATTTGTTTTGTGATCATGCCCTGGATAAGACAACAGGAAGTCACTGCAAGAAATAGTCCTAGCTGTTTCCTCCTGCTTAGTCTTTATGCTAAGCTAAGTTAACCACATCATATCATCATATTTAATGGAGAGTCATGAAAGTGGTCTCGATCTTCTTGGACAACTATGTACAAGAAAGCAAATAAGCATATTCCCCAAAATGTGGAACCATTTCTTTAAGAAAAAAAAAGATCAATAAGTCAACTTGATATGAATTACACAGGCATACTGTTTCAAAAACAGGGCAACTTTTTTCAAATTAAAATATTTTTTTAAATGTTTTTCCAGCATTTCGATGACTACATTTTAATGTGTAGTTAGACCTTACTTTGTGTTGAATTATAATCATTCAAATGTTGTTGTGACACTGATTGTCTTTAGCCTGAGTGTCAAAAATTGTTTACTTTTCAAACCAAATTCAGTCCAGTTATAGTCTAGAGCAGGGGTTAACAACCTTTACTATCAAACAAGCCATTTCTGACCCAGAAAATTATAATAATCTGCCGCAAAACTTTATTATAATGTTAATTTCTCACCACAGATCAAGCATACCAGTAAGGCGGCAGCGCTAATGGTGAAAGCAAAATCTGTCCATGCACTATGCAATTCTCTATTTTACTTTTCATTTTTTGGATTTGGAATCTATAGCTAGCTTATATAGGGAGACTAAAGACTGGGAGCCACCTCTATTGAAGAAAAGGCACCAGGGTGTAATGGCATTTTCACAATTGGAGAATGTAAGAATCACCTTAGGCCTACAACAATGATACAAGAAAGTAAAAAAGTTTTCCATTTCCACATATTTTTTTGCTAAAGCCGCAGGGAGCCTCAGTAGATCGGCAAAAGGACGCTGCAGGTAGCCCTAGTGTCTAGACATCTAGAGATTTAAATGACCTGACTCAAATCACCAAATCAGTGTTTGGTGGGTACGTCAAATGTAACAAAAACGTTTCCCAGCATTTGATATCCAAGGGGTAAGTAAGCAAAACAGCCGGTAGCCAACACCACACTTCCATCAGCCTTCACTTTTATAATTGCTCATTCATCAACTGATGGTTAATGTTCACGTGGAGTTCAGTGAGAAAATTAGCCCAGAAATTAACAGTGATGAATGGTCCCTCATCAGAGAGAGGCATGACGACAGCTGGGTGGTGGCTACTGGCTGCTCATGAAAAAGCAGTAACCTTTTATTGGCAAGGAAGAGACAGAGCAGTGCAGCATGTCTTTTACAATATTTTGTACGCCACACAGATGGTGGTTTAATGCCCTGCTTAAGGGCACTTTGACAGTAGTGGTTGAGAGATTCCAGCTAAAGGCTCCCAGCACTTTCATCTACTCAGACACCAGCTTGTCTGACTTTGGCTTCATGAAAAAACAAATTCTCTGGAGGTTTTCATATTTTTTCCTCAACGCAGTATGTTAATAAGAGATTGTATACATGTTATTACGGGGTTACTTATTTGTTATGTTAGATTTTGTCATAATTTACATTTAGACTACTGTATGTATTAGAAATAGGAGCCACAAGAGGGCTTTTGTTTTATAGATAGAATTATATATTCACAATATATTGCTATGATCAAATAACTTTATTTTATTTTTTTGACGTGGTTGCATAGTGCCTATATGGGTTGCGTACCTGCTGATTGGTCTGCTGACCCGAGTCGACCAATCAGACCACAGACAGATGAGCGAGGCCATATTGCCACTAAATAAGAGTATGGCTTTTTATCAAGTTGACAGATACTGTACAACTACATGGGTAAACAAGGACCACTTATAATGTTGAGTAGAGTTTTTTTTAATCAGAAACAGACTGTGATGTTACTGTACATTCCAAACAAACAACAAAAAAGAAATATATATGTTACTGAAATGTCTGTTTGAAGTCATCAGAATGGAAATTATTTTGAAAGAACAAGTTCTTTTTTCTTTTGTTTTTTTTGATGAGTGTTAAATGTCATAAAGATCAGCTAAAGGTCCAGCCGCTCTACAGCTGGCGTTCAGTTTCATGTCGTGGGGAGTTCAATCCTTGCGTTCAAAGTAACAGTACAGAAGAGAAGACACTGATAGGCCCAACACCTAACTTAAACCCATAATATCTTCCAGGGTCTAACAGTCTATAATTTAAAAGGTACAACATGGCATTACGCACGAATTCATAAGTCAAGGCTCGACTGATCTTCTCAGATGTGTTTATAGACTCAAGTGAGGTGCTGAAGTTGGATTTTATCTTTGTGCAAACAGGTTACACAAATCTAGAATACTGTGGTGCAAGTTTCAGAGTTTATATTTTATACAGAGGTTTATTTCAGCAATCTGTTGCGATAAAACGTACACAACATTTACATTTATCAGTTTTGTCTTTGAAGAAAGACTGTATTACAGGTTTAGTTAAAAAAGCAAAAGACAAATACAGCATTTATACTGTTATGATCAAACCAATGCAAAACTCAGATTTTATTTAAATACCGACCTCTCTGTTGAACTATCTCCTGCACCTTTTGCGTATATTTCAGGCCAGTGAAATGATGTTGCATTGCAATTTTCATCCTCCTCAGTGACTATTTGACTGTAGTTTATTAGGAAGGCGTGTGTTGAACCTTTCTAGGCGATGGTGATGAATGTATTTGTGTGTTTTCTATGGTATGTCTATACCCGTCAAGTGCTTGTTATAGGTTGTACCCTTGGTGGAACTCAAATTGATAAGTTTAAAAACAAAATAGGAGGAAATAAAGACATCAACATTGAGGAATAACATTTATTTTGGGAGAGGTAGTCTTCTTCTTTTTTGATTAGTAGTCAAGTCCAAGTTCAGTTTGATGTATTTTTGGAGAAATTACGTTTGTACATGTATACTCTGCGTTGACACCTAGTATGTAACATGAATAATAAAAAAAGTTTCACCTCGTACAATGTGTTTCTCATCTATTAGTACATAGACACTTATTTCTTTCAGTATCTATCCATCTGTCTGTATTTTCTATTTTTCAAATTAAAATATGTTATAAATGACCTTGTTGTGTCTTATAAGTAAGATATTTGCTCTTTCAAAACCACAGGCATTCAGTGTAGCATTGTCAAAATGTGGTTGACGTTTGGTTAATTGCTGCATTTCGAGCCAAGCGCAACCCAGGATCATGAACTCTGACTGAACAAGCAATAATGGACATGTTTCAACCCTCTAAACGTTTGGTTAATAGCTTAAACGTATTTAAGCTTTTTACAGTTAAGTAAAAAACAAAAAGTCACTTTTGGCAGTCTGGGAAATATGGGCCCATGTCATTATTAACTTTGGTAAGAACTGCCTATGAAAGCCTTTAAAACATGGCCTAAATATAATATTTGTATAGGTTTATAACGTACATATTTATATAAAGTCCATCCCCTTTAAGGCAAAAGCAGGCTGAGGCTGGCTGTTTTTTTCTTCTGTCATTGATCGCTACCAGTGTAGGTAGTAATCAAACAATGTTTGAGAGAATCCCTATAAATTAGTCTGATGGGGATGATAAATTGCATTACATCCAAATGTGTCCTGTAGGAAAGATTAACTACTTTTTCTGGCAGAAAATTTACTACTGCTGCCAAAATGAAAGACAGATGTTTATTTTGTGTTTGTGCCAGTTACAATGAGTTTTCAAGATGAATGGAAATGTTAAATGTCTCCAAAGATTAATACCACATCTCTGTCTAACTCCTTTGACATTACCTTTTATTTCCAAGAAGCAGAAGCGATGCCGATTGAAATCTTCTTGTCTTTTTACTTATCATTTTAATGGGACAGGTGATACCCTATTGTAGCTTTTGGTCAGCTCTTGGTCATGTTATGTTGTGAGTCTGACAAAAGTCACTACTTTGGTTCTGTGGTTGTTCAAGACATTTTGACATTTCACAGTAGAAAAACAGAAATGTAAATGATAAAATTGATGGATGATGATTTAATTCTACTGAGGTGCTTTGGTTTCAGCATCCTTACATTGAGAAAGCTGGCTCACCCTCACACTTGGACGCTTAAATAATACAGAGCCATCGTTAATGTTTTATTATTAGTAACACCTGTGCTCTTGTGAGAAAGAGTACTGCACAGGTGTGTTACATTAACAGTAATTGAAACTAAGCAGTCTGGTAAAATTGTACATTTTATCATTTTATTTTAAACATGGAGCAGAGCCCTTTCTGCCATGAGGTAATCTATTTTTATTTATTTATTGTATGTGTTTTAAATTGGACTCCATTCCCCAGCTTGCACTTGCAGTTGCTATTTTTTACCACAAGGTGGCGGCACACCTCAACATTTAAACCAAAGGCAGGCGCTGCACTGTGCTGCCTTCATTTCCACTCAAAGAGCAGGAGTGATGAAAGCATATAGTTACTGTAGACACACTGTGTTTTTAGTTAAAAACAACCACTGGGCCTACAATTGTAGCTTAGTTTGTTTGTATTAAAATCAATCGAAACGCAGCAGGGACAGAAGGAAGGACATGCATGTCAGACATGTAAGTAGCCCAAAGTTAGTCAAAAATAGCCAAAAGTTGCTTATTTTCCTTTTATTTACCTTCATGTGTTCAGCTGCAGCCAATTCAGCTTCAACGACTGTTCAACTTATATCAGAGACAGAAAATAACTGTAAATATTTAAGAGACCGTAGATATGTTTTCATTGTTCACACCACATGCACATCACAACTCGACAAACCAAGTTAAACGTCTTATAGCTAAACACCAGCATTAACACCTCCACTATTGACGACGTTCATGTCGTTCATATTTCACATAAGCTTAACTCGTAATTGTCAATTCTCCCACGCCACCCAAAGGCAGCACACTCCGGCTCAGGGCGCCATTTTGGCTCCACAGCTTCTCTCCTCGATGCAGTTCCTGTGGTTGGTCATGTGCATCGCAAATCCAGCGTGATGCTCCCTTTTAGAAATGTGCCGAGGACGAGAGTAGTTGCAGTCAAGTAGAATCCAACTTTAATGTTTATTGGCAATTTATTGTCACTTCCCCAGCAGCTAGCATTTAGCTTCGTCTTCAACAGGTAGCCTATTAATGCTCACTGTAAAGGTTAGTAGAGTTAAGAGCCAAAACACGAGTTGTTACACATTTAAATAGCCTACATAGATGGAAACACATCACCTGTAATAATTATAACATTGTGTAGTGTTGTCACAGACACTCTTTGCTACCTAATTCTAAATGGCCCCATTTACCTGATAAGTAATGTAAAATAAATTATTATTTATTATAGCATATGTATTTATTTAGTTTAATTTGTACAGAACAGTGACGTGTGATATACAAGCCAAGCTCTTTCACATTAGAAGTAAATGATGATATGTAAAAGTCAGGCATTCCACACACACACACACACACACACACACACTGTAGCCACTATACTGTAGCCTGAAGCCTTACAGTGGATTTACACTCACTGCAACACTATTATAATATCTTTATTCCAAGAGCCGAGCACTAACTGTAAAATGCATATAGGCTAAAGATAGGTTATAGATATTGTGAAACGTGCGCGCTCCCACACACACACACACACACACACAGAAACACGCACACGTGCGCGCGCGTGCTCAGTCCTCCACCCCCTTCTCTCTCTCTCTCTCT